AGCCAGGCCCTAAAGGAAAGTAACCTTGCAATAAACAATTCACTTTTGTTTAGTACAATTTCCTTTCTGCCCATAATGGTCTTTCATTTTGTACAACTCCTTGGAGCTCCTTCCTGTCTGCTAGATTGGATGCTGCCCGACGCATCAATTGTTGAATAAAGCCAGTAAGTTCTCTAAAATGTACTCAGTTGAGTTTTGTTTTTTAACACTATATATGTGGGTTTTTTAATTTAAAATAAAAAAAATTAATGTTTATTTCCTTTTAAGAGAGCGAGAGAGTACATGTGGAGGAGGGACAGAGACAGAGGGACACACAGAATCCGAAGCAGGCTACAGACTCTGAGCTGTCAGCGCAGAGCCTGATGCGGGACTTGAACTCACGAATGACAAGATCATGACCTGAGCCAAAGTCGGACGCTCAACCGACTGAGCCACCCAGGTGCCTCTATGTGTGTTTTTTGGAACTCTGCTTTGAACTGGCTCCCTTATTAATGAATTCAATAAAATCTTTGATGTGTTTTCATTTTATATTTGTATGAGAGGCATGATTTTTACCTCTTAAGATCTATCTTTTCACATTAGGTACATAATATGTGTAGCACTTTTCTAGACGCTGATGGCAGGGTGAAAATTCTGTCTCCACAATGGACTTTCTGGCTGGAATCAAATTGACATGAGACAGAGTAACAGGAGAAATCGAATTTAATAGTGCACATAATCGAATTTAATAGTGCACATTCGAGGAACCCACATAGACATGGAAATTCCAAAGACAGGCAGAATGAGGTATACATGTCATTCTGAACTAAAGAGAAGAGGGTAGAGACCTGGGACTTCAATGGGAAGCAATGCACCTCACAGGAAGATGAAAAAGAGTGTTTGGTAAACAAATGTTTGCTGGGCCATACAGAAACAATGGGACACAGAAGACTTTTTTTTTTAAATTTTTTTTTAACATTTATTCATTTTTGAGAGACAGAGAGAGACAGAGCATGAGTGGGGAAGGGGCAGAGAGAGGAGGAGACACAGAATTCGAAGCAGGCTCCAGGCTCCCAGCTGTCAGCACAGAGCTGGTCGCGGGGCCTGAACTCACGAACTTTGAGATCATGGCCTGAGCCAAAGTCAGACACTCAACTGACTGAGCCACCCAGGCGCCCCCAGAAGACTTTGATCTAATAGGACTTGCTAGCTCATCTGTGTCTTCCA